AAAATCATATTACTAGAATACATTGGTATCGAAGGAAGTAGATTCTGTTCCGAAATATCACTTACTCGAACCGTCCTGACCGCGTAGCTCAGTTGGAAGAGCATTGGGCTAGTATTCCAAAGGTCGTAGGTTCGAATCCCACCGTGGCCGGGCATATTTTTCAAGCTCGCCCGGTGTGGATATGCACTCAGAATAACATCACAAAACATATTATTCACCTGAGTACACAACACCAGTACAGAAAAAAAATTCATATTACAAGAACACATTGGTATTGAAGGAACTAGATACTGTTCCGAAATATCACTTACTCGAACCGTCCTGACCGCGTAGCTAAGTTGGAAGAGCATTGGGCTAGTATTCCAAAGGTCGTAGGTTCGAATCCCACCGTGGCCGGGCATATTTTTCAAGCTCGCCCGGTTTGGATATACACTCAGAGTAACACCACAAATATCATATTCACCTGAGTACACTACACCAACACAGAAAAAAAAATTCATATTACTAGAAAACATTGGTATCGAAGGAACTAGATTCTGTTCCGAAATATCACTTACTCGAACCGTCCTGACCGCGTAGCTCAGTTGGAAGAGCAATGGGCTAGTATTCCAAAGGTCGTAGGTTCGAATCCCACCGTGGCCGGGCATATTTTTCAAGCTCGCCCGGTGTGGATATGCACTCAGAGTAACATCACAAAACATTTAAAAGACTTCTTAAAATAAGTAAAATTTATTTTAGTTTATGTTTGCATTATAATTTAAAAAATATCGCAGTTATACTGATCTTTGGCGTGTTTATTTACATGTAGTTTTTGTGTGTATTTTGCCAACTCTGATTCTCTGAATAAGTCTATATGGAAAACGGAGCATTAAACGGCTGCGAGAAGATATGGATTGATGTTCTCGTGTCAAACTCAATATCGCCACGTACTCGAACATAAATCCATATTTTGTTGCAACCGTCTAACATATGGGAAAGCTTATGCAAACGACGTTTTTGACAACACGGACGCCAAACGGAAATGAATCGAGCCGTTATTGATGGCAACAGGCCTTTTTGTTTGAAATCCGAAAGTGTAGCCAATAAACTTTCCGGATCGTGATTTCAAACAACAACGGCTGTCGTCATTACTCGCCAACATTAACGGCTTGATTCGCTACCGGTTGGAGCCCCTTTTGCCAAGAACGTTGCTTGATTAAGCACTCTATTAGTGATAATCACCGACGTACAATATACAGGGTGTATCAAAAAAAGCGCAATCCTCGACTGAAATGTAAATTGCTAAACAAATAATAGACGAAAACGTTAAAGTTTACATTCATTTTAAAGCGTAGCCATTCAGCTTTCTAACAGTGGGTCGTTTCTTAAATTTGACTCATTGGTTCGCGGATAATAATACTTTACGTTATTGCGATTGGAGATTAAAAAAATTGAGATGGAATAGGCCTACTCTGGGGCGGTAAATCGCCCTAAATCGCCCAAAATCGCATTAAATCGCGGGTCAAAATTGTCAAATTTCTCTTAAATCGCCAAAAATCGCTTTAAATCGCCTAAAATCGCATAATATCATTGGCGTCCTGGGCGGGGGGTGTGTGAGTGGGTGGGGGTTGGGGGGAAGGGGCGACCCCCCCCCCCCAGTTGCTGGCTGGGCGGTCGCCCCCTGGCTTTGTTGGGCAAACAAAGCCAGCCGGGCAATATTCGCTTCACAGTCGTGCAAAATTGGTTTATTATAGAAATAAATGGGACAAATTCTGTCAATTTTGTGGGAAATTCTGTCAATTATGTGGGAAATATGCTATCTAATAGGAATTTTTTGTAATCACTTCTTCCCCCCCCCCCGTCGACAACAATTTTGGATAGTTTCTCCGCCAAATTTTTTGACAACGTGTGCATAATCCGAAAAAGTCGGGCAAATTTCTTTCCAACCCCCTAATTTTTTCCTTCCCGTACGCCCATGCTTAAAATTGCATTAACTCGCCAACATGCATTCTGTTTGATACATTCAGTCAATGATGTACTCAAGTTTATCAATTGCTGCTATTTTGCTGGCAAATCATGTATAATCCAGGTGTTTTGCAATCAAAAGTAATGCAACATGGATAAATCAAATAAGTGGATTAAGCTGACAATATTTAGTCACTCAATAGGCTCCGGTCATTAATAAAAACAGAGCCTTTTTCTGCTTTATGCAGACTTTACAATAATTAGGCAATTCTGGGATATGAAAGACCCATACATTCCATTACAGTCATTACACTACCAGTTACTGGTTAATTTCATTATTGGTGTAAAATGTGGAGGCTGGGCTACAATTTATATATGGACTATGGTGGCTGGGCTACAAATTAATCTATAATATACATGGCTTCTCAAAGCCTAATTGCTGTTTAATAGAACAACAGTCTATGATAATGAGAGTCAATGAGTACGAGTATATAATAAGGTCATCCTGCAATTTGTGCACTGTTGCATGTAGATCGAGCACTGCATTGTATACAATGGTTGTACTTCGACATGTGCATGGTTATACTCTAGCTCCTAGTTATAATTATATTGGCTATCAAACGAAAAACATACGTGACTGAGGTTATGAGCGAGATTTGCAAGTTTTGCAACTCTCATCTATTAAATTTTCCAGACCTGTATATAAAATAAACAGTAAAACAATGATTACATCGTACATACCATACAATCATTGTTGTTGCTTGTTTGCAGAATACTCGACAAATTATCAGGTAAAAGACTTAAAACCACGATGTAGTACGCGGTGTGCCACATTTTGTTTAGTAATTTTTTAGAATAATTTAGAATTCCGACCATTTATATGCGATATACTTCATGTAAATTAAACTTTACGGCATTACGCCGACAGTTTCCGAATGCGTGACAATACTGTTTCAAACAGTTTCTGGATATAGATATCAAACATAATTTTATAAAACATGTTTGTTGAAACAGTTTAAATGAAATGCAAGCTAAATAAAGAAGTGTTGACAAGATACAAAACAAGACAATTTCACTTACAAGGGTGACAAGGTAATTTATAGTAGGTAATTTATAGGAATATAGCTTATTGTAACTGTATAAATATATTGTGCGTTTCTACTCCCTGTGGGCTGTGGTTCTTTTGGAAATCAAATATCTATTATATTTTGCAATTAATAATATTAAAGTTTAGCCTAAGACATGTGTAGTTTAGTTATAGGTTGGTATTTTGCAATTATGTACCGTGCATGCCCCTTAAGTAGAGTATATTTATTAACTGTTTACAATATTTGTGGTATATAATGTAGCCATGAATGCATGACCACATGACCCCACAAGATGAACTCCAATGGCTTCTAAATAAGACAATGGATGAAAAGTTCACGAATATTGAGCTTTATATATGATTCGGGTTAAATACAATAATTATTAACCTAGCTTTATATAAAATGTACATACATGTTCTAATAATTGTATTTTGCTTCATACAATGCATATGTGTGTGAAAACAATACATTATTCAGCTCACTCCCCTTTGGGGCTTTTCAGTCACCGCTTACATCAAGTATTAGGGTTACTTATGTTAGTCTAGACTATTTATCTTTATAACAATGAGAATATGATATCACTTTTCTAACTGTGTTTATTCTAACCCACCCTGCTATATTTTGCCTTGTGGGAGGAAACCGGAGCAAAATATAAAATTCAATTACCTTGAAAACACAGGTCTAAATTGCAATCGCTAAAATTTAGAATTTTCTCTTAAATCGCCTAAAATCGCATTAAGTCGCAGTGCTTGAAAGTCCCAGTTTTTCCTTAAATCGCCTAAAATCGCATTACATCGCAGCGATTTAAGGCGATTTACTGCCCCAGAGTAGGCCTAGGGATGGTATTTATGGGATCTTTTGAAAGAACAGTTGAGACTGAACTGATAGAACTATCAGCATAAAATATAGTTAGCTTAGTTTAATGCTTCTGTATACATAGTAAGTATACTAACAAAGGACAGATACATGATGGCTCTTACTGGAACTCCAAGCCCATAAGGACGAAAGAGAGTTGGGCATAAATGAAAAAGAGCTACCTAAATCTCAATTTAAATACATCAGGTAAATCCATACGATCCCGGCATTTGCACAAAAAAGAAAAGAGGAAAATTTATGGTTGTTAAAGCTCATAGTGATGACGATAGAATTGTGGCTTGTGTTGAACAGCATGAAAAATATCAATGGGATATGATAAATAGTACTAACATCGTTTCAAATACATGTTTTTATTCGCATGTACTTGCACACTATGCATGCATGTAGTACAGTTTTTAAATTCACAATTTCGGTATTTGTGAAGTAACTCTATAAAGACAGTAACTTTTTGCTTTTTATGGGGTTGTAAATGGTGATTTTGAAGCTTTACATGTAAATGTAATGGACTAAATAATGTAATGAGTGAAACAAGGGAAATTTTACACCCAAACTGACACCCATTAATGAGCGGAACCACTGAACATTAACGAGCGAGCTACTGAATTATTTCAAGATATGGAGGGCAAAGTTTTTTTTATGAATTTATTGGTAAAAAGATGAG